ATCCTGGAGTTATGCAAAGCCTGTCGTATGCTCTATTTCGTACTGTTTGAGGTTTGTAGAGCGTATGTCAACAAATTTCATCCAATCTTGGAGTCCATTTAGAGTACTAATCTTCTGACCTTGCCCAACTTCTCCGAAATATACGGTAAGCAGAAAGGGGTCTTTCCAACGGTTTCTGTAACCGCATCGTAGGTTTCAGTTACCAGCGTCGTCAACAGCGAAATTTTTGAGCATAGGAGGTAAAGCGCGCTCAAATCGAACTATGCAGCGCATACGAATATTGATTCAAGTTTTGTATCTAAAAAATCATGGAAAATTCGCGGAGAACCTTAATTTTCCATTTATATATGGAATACGTTCTCAATCAATATCGCTTGACAAAGAAGAAACTTATCTGTAAGAAAATTTATATGAATAACCAATTTTCGATCTGCAATCAAACTTAAATCTCAAAATATTTATTAACAACTATATGGGTACACAAACAAAGGGAAGGCACGCAATGGAGTCATAGTTAAAGCTTGTCCGTCTGCAAGTGCACAAATATGAGCGTATTATTGAGCATATAAGGCTAGATCTAGTCATAACTCGTCAATTTTTCAGATTCTAATTCTGGAAGATTCTCATAAGGTCCTGTAATATATACTGTGCACTTTGTCACACTCGTTATTACTCCTAAATAATAGTACACAAGCTCTAATCTTCTACACATGATATAATATTATGACTGCAATAGTTGATCTTCGTATTGTTTCACGAAGCATTCTCCTACTGGGAAGAAGTCCCAGTCTCTGAAAAAACAAATTTTAGAATTATGAAGCGCAAATCGCAAGAAAAAATCGAAGTAAAACACAGCTTTGCTGTGCCACCGCCGTTCAGATGCCGGGTCAGTGCTGTGCCAGCACCGTCGATCAATCGGTACCTGTGCATCTACGTGGGTCCTGGCACGGCGCTGACACGGCATTTGCACGAGCAACTCTGGACGCAGCTTTACAGAGTTTTTCAAAAAATTCACCTGTTATCATATTTTTCTCTTACGTAAGTCTCCTGTCCCGTATATTCGGTGTCATCCTTGTTCACTAGATGTTGCAGGAAAAATCTGTAAGGCAATTTTTCAAAGATATACTTACCAGTTTCAAATCGAAAAACAACGATGTGCGAAAACTGGTCCCCAGTGTCTGCACCATGAACTCATTGGAGACCAGTTCTCGTCAACACCAAAACTTACAGATAGTTAGCAAAGTTGTGTTCCTTTGTTACGTGTATTTCAAAACCTCTTGGCAATCGATCAAATGTTTCTTTGCCAATGTCGCAAATGAAGCATGACGATTCCAATTTTTCTGTTGCCGATTCTTGCTGGTCTCGAAGTTCACCGAAGGCGTCGATGATCAAACCTAAATGCTCACAAATTTCTCGGAATACTGTAGGAATACGGTAGATAAAAAGTGCAGTCACCCTACCTTGCATGATGGCCAGCAGGATAATAATGACGAAGAAGAAGAATGAGATATCATAGAACATTCTTGGATACTCTAGCTCATCGCCGTAAGGCGCTTCCAGCTCGTCACCAATACCTCCACCAGCTCTTACACCAGCGTAGAAGTGATAGATGAAGCACTAAATGCAACTTCTCAGCTGAAGTTCCTGGTCTCGCAAAGAATCAGCTTACTGTAAGCATGTTATGGCATTTCCTGTCCGGTTCCTCGCCGTCTTCACCCTCTTGGACGTAGAATTTACGGAAGAAATTGAACGCAAGCACAGCATACAGATACACTACCACCAAAGTCATCATGATGGTAAGGATCAACTGAAAAGAGACGCTTTGATTCAGCTGCAGTTGCTCGTGCGCCGGCATAGTGCGCGTGCTAGCGCCGTGCCAAAATATTGATTGATCAGTAGAACAGCGTCTTTTTTCCGGCACGGCGCTGGCCCACACTGGATCGATGATGGAACAGCGCTGGCACGAGCACTCTCTAGACAACCCTACTTCGAAACACAACGGCCGCTCACCTGTTGCAGATTGTGGGTCACAGATTGTAAGATAGCTTTTAACATAGGGAAAGAGAGTACGACGTCGATCAAGTGGAAGGCGTAGAAGAATGGCGAAATAAACACTCCGAAAGCCGAGCACAGCATGTAGAAAACGCGGTAGAGGAATTGCCCGTTTGTCAAAATTACGCCAATCCACAACCAGCACGTGTACCTTGAAAGGTAGCTGTCAGTCAGAGTAAGAACTTTTAACGATAACGCGGAACCTGTAGTCAAAGCTAGTATCACCAGCGGCTTTCTCTTCACCAAGAACCAATGAAAGCGTCTCTTCGTCCACCTAAAACGACATAAATCAGTTAGTCTCACTATCCCTTTATCAAGAAAAAAGAGTTAGTTCTTAAAATTTATATTTTCGCGAACGACCGCTTAAAAGCTGCATCCAAAGCTGCCCGCGCCAGCGCCATGCTAGCGCCATGCTCGAAAGTCGATGGATCAATATGTTTTGCGTCCGTGGATTACGACGCTAACACGACGCTGACACGGCTGGTACGACGTTGGAACGGAGCTGGCACACGGGCAACTCTGGACACTGCCGCATAGATGAAATCCAAAATTCGAATGTGTGATCTTACCTGATCCTTGAACTTCTGACGGGTCTTTCTCCTGACGAATTTGTCCCAGTATGTCATTGGGAATGATTTCGAGCTGATGACAATTCTATCGAGATACCTGGAACAAAACATAATTTTTGTCAACATAAAAATCTTCATAAGCTGATGAAGATGTAGAACAGTTTGTGAGGAATGGCCATTGTCCAAATGGCACGTCAGACGAATTATGCATATCAGAAAAATTTGATTTTAAAATCTCGCTCAGATCGTACTTTACACTACGTGAGGACGCTAATTGGTCCTTTTACAAAAATAAACCCGGGCAATACTCCAAAGTTGTTTTTTGGTTACGAATGAATCAATTAAATGTAGCAATCAGGAATTATTCCTTAAGAAACAAGATAATGTGACTAACCAAAGTAATGTATCAATGATTCCACTTTCTTCGTTATCATCTTCAGTAATCCAGCATCCATCGAACATCAACTTTCGTGCCACTTCTTTTTCACGTTTGAAGGTGATTAGCGGAATCTGTAGAGTTCAAATATACGATTTCTTTTCAGTTTTAAACTGATTCGCTCACCTTCAGTTGGTAGAACGATACCAGTAGGGCGAAAGAGATGGTAACATGCAAGACGCTGATCCAGTACAAGACCTGCAATTACATCATGTACTGTTTTATAACAGCACGTCGAGGGCACATAAGACTGCGTTCAGAGTGAATGTGCCAACTCTATGCCAGGGCCGTGCCAAAACGTCGATCAATCAATATGCGGCTGTCTACGTGACGAACCGGCGCAGGCACGAGCTGGCACGCTGCTGGCACGAAAAACTGTAGACGATGTCCAAAGTATGAGTTCGTCTAACCTGCGAAAGGACCCATCCAGTTACTTCGTAGTCTATATAAGGTATCATCATTCCGCTAATGTATATGGTCTCAACGGTGCTATCGTCGTCTTCTTCTGCTTCCGCGCCTTCTGAAACATCCAATCAAGAATCAACCCCATGAGTAGAATCACAATAAAATCCCTAACCTTGAGCATCAACATGCTTGATATCAACTCTATGGAATAAAAGGATGATATTGATGAAGAAAGCCAGATAAAGCGTTGTTTTCTCGAT